ACAATGTGTTCTCACTGCCTCGTGCTTTATTCATACTATTTTCCAGTTCCATTTTCTAACACTAAGGGGCCGTTTGGATGGGAAACAAGTTATCACATAATTAATTATCCCGGAATTAGTTATCCCACCCTCCCATGGGAATAAAAAAACACTTTACAATCCCGGAATTAGTTATACCACAATTTTATCTAACTCATGTCAAATTTAATCCCGGGATTAATTATCCCTTATCCCTCATACTAAACGAGCCCTAAATTCTTGAGCCAGGGTCTTTTCGGAAAGAGACTTTCTACCCCACAAGGTATGGGTAAGGTCTCTATACACATTACCCTCCCCATACCCCACAATGTGAGAATACACTATAAGAATCATAGCATAAAATAGGGATAAAATATGATCAAGTTATAACAACAGCAGTTCTATACCTTCTCCACAGCATGCAATGCAGCTCCATGGCCACCAACACCAGCACCAATTATAACTACATCATAATTAAACGACGTCGGAGCACTGCCATTGTCAGCCACTGAAGCTGCTACAACACTATTATTCCTCAGAACTCTCACTGATCTCTGAGTCTCACATCTTTTAAACTGCGAAAAGGAAAACGCTAAAACTTCCTTTCTCAGTCCACAAAACCGCAGATTCAAAGGAGTAAAAGAAAATTGCTCGAGCTGATTTTTGTGTGATCTCTTAAGTACTGAACAATTAGGAGGAAAAGATATAGAAATAGATGAATGCATTTCCAAATAAATCACTAGAATTTTATAATTCTGATCAGAATATAAGTTTAGTCCGAAGATTCACTTCTACTTTAATTTATTCATCTAAAAATAAAACATGGATGAGGAGATTTTATTTGAGTTCTGAGTTCGTGCAGCTAAAACTGTGCAGTGGACATTCGGACAGTGAGATAATAGATAAGTCCAGTGGATAACAACTCTGACGTGGCATGCTACTAAAGTGCACCTTGAAAAATATTTTTCTAAAATGTAATACTATCATTTTCTACTCCATTTGTCACAACTTATGTCGTAATTTTTAAAAATAGTTATCTTAAATTATTTATTATTTTTAAAAATTACTTTTTTTTATCCCTAGTAATAACTGTTCTTGAAGAACTCAATTATAGGGTAATATTACGATTATTCAAATACTAATAAGATATAAATAAGAGTAAAATATTCAAAAAGACCTCTTAATTACTATTATTTTTTTATGAGACGTGTGAAAGAGAAACATAATAAATAATTTGGGACAGAGAGAGTATTATATCGGGATAACAAAAATTTAAAAAGAAAAAAAGGGGCATGAGAGATAATCAATTATTAAACTCACACATTATATTAGAGATTTTTATAGGTCGTGAAAGTATTAGTAGGCGTTTGGACATAAGAATTGTAAAATTCAAAAAAATTGTGAAATTTTTTTTCAAGTGAAAATGGTATTTGAAATTTAGAGTTGTGTTTGGACATAAATTTCAGTTTGGGTTGTTTTTGAAGTTTTGTGAGTGATTTGAGTGAAAATTTTGAAAGATAACTTTTTGCACTTTTTCAAATTTTCGGAAATTTCCAAAATGCATCTTCAAGTGAAAATTGAAAATTTTATGAACAAACATTGATTTCGAAAAAAAGTGAAACTTTTTTTGGAAAAATCTTCCATCAATTTTTTTGTCCAAACGGGCACTTAATTTCTTGCGGAGCGTGGTGGTTTGTTATGAACTATTGCAAGGAATGGGACTTGGGTCCCACATCGGTACTACAGAATGTTGATGTGGGGTTTATATAGCCTTGGGCTCTCCCGCCTTAATAGCTAGCTTTTAGGGTGTGGTTCTCCCTAGGTTGTATCAATGGTATCAGAGCCATCCACTACTCTCTGTGCCCACCGTGCCTTGGATGGTGATGCCGGTATTGCAGTGTTCGCCCGGGGCTAGAAATGTCTAGCGCACAGCCGTCGAGGACGACGGGTGCAGAGCGTGGTGGTTTGTTATCAACTATTGCAAGGAATGGGACTTGAGTCCCACATTCGGTACTACAAAGTGTTGATGTGGGGTTTATATAGCCTTGGGCTCTCCCACCTTAATAGCTAGCTATTGGGGTGTGGTTTTCCCTAGGTTGTATCAATTACTTAGAATTAGCCAATCGAACAGTAATTGAAGCTCTACTATAGCTTGAAGCTGAGCTTCAATGGTGATAAGGCTGCAACCTTTGCGTCACAAGCACTTAGGGAGAAGGAGAGAGAGAGAGAGAGCATATTGAGAGAAGAATCTAGAACATTAGGAATGAATTAACTGAAAAGAAAGTGAATGGAACCACCACTATATACAATTGCAGTTGTCTATGCTAAGCTAAGATTATAAACACTAACTACCAAGTTGAACCACTAACTACCAAGCTGATTGGTGCAGCTGTCATAACTAACTAACTAACTAAGTAAAATAATTAGTGTTCTTAACATACTTCTTTTTCTTTTTTTTTTCTTTTTTGAATTTTAATTTATTACTTTTGGGCGAAATCCACAAACTAGACTTTACTTTAGATAGCATTGCAACATTTTACAACTAGATAAAGATTTGTTTTTTAATTCTTCCCGATTCAAGATAAAACAAAAGAAAAATCTTTATAGCGAAGGGAATTGTTGGGGATATACGCAAGTAAAATGTTAAGACAAAGAGAGAACTTTAATAACTGAAAAAAATGACATTGTATAACCGCTGTAAAAATAATAGTCGAAAATGTATAAAATTTATATATATTTTGGTATATATATATACATTCTGTATGTCATATATAAATATTATACAAATTTTATATACTTTTTTGACAATCAAATATAAATATTTTCTAGAGCAGGCTAAAAGTGATAATACCCCTTTATAATTAGTGCTTCACTTAAAATACAAGACAACTTCTCTTGGTATTGTGAATGAACATGAATCCCATTTAAAAAAGAAGTTTGCGTTTGTGAGTAAAAATTACTTCTTCACTTAAAATACAATAACAATAACTGTTGTCTAAATCTCAAACACGTTGGGATTCACTATATGAGTTCTCCTCTATCATGTTGTTATATTTATTGTGAAGACTCACTACAAATTCTCCTCCTTCAAAATAGGCTTGTAGGTGGACTAAGAGGGGTAATCCGAAACAGCAATGGGAATTGGGTGGTGGGATTCATGGGAAAAATAATTATACCAATATTATACGCTCTGAATTCTGAACTAACAACTTTAATGCAGAGACTAAAAATGGCAATCTCGAACAACTTTACCCCTTCGAGATTAACATAGACTCAAGAGAGGTAATACACAGTATCAAATCTGATTTATGAGACTATTGCATGCGAACGCATGTCACTCTTAGCAGTACCGGGGCATCCTCTAGTAAATCACAACTACAGGGAAACCAATAGGGTGGCGGACAAGCAGGCCAAGAAAGCAAGCAAGATGAACGAAGCAACAACAAACTTTTTGATAGTTCCTCCGGTGTTTGCCAATAAAGCAATATGGGCGGATATTCTAGGAACTATTTTGGAAAGAAAAACAAGAGGTTGTACTATTTATAATGTAGCGATAGACTAGTATCTTTTTTTGGAGGCTGAAACCTCTCCGAATGATGCTGCTGTAACAAACGGCCAACCAGCAAGCACAGGCGGACACATAATTTTTACACGACGAGGGCACATTATTCTGCTCAATCAGTACCCCCTAAAGGTTTTTAGTGTTCAAGTGCCAACTGCTTTAAATTAACCATTTTTAAAGTATATACGTATATATATACAGGATTTCATCCGAAGTTTACGGGGTCCGGTGAGCCCTCACCCATACACATATGTCCGTCTCTGCCAGCAAGTCAAAATGATATATATATATATATAGTATATATATATATATATATATATATATATTATATATATATATATAAATATATATATATATATATATATTTATATATATATATATATATATATATATATATATGAGTATAATATATCTTGTTAATCAAAAAAAAAAAAGAAAAAAAGATATACATGTTCAAATAAGTAATTTAATGTTTCATTTGATTTTCAAGTAGATACATAGCTAAACAAACATTTACAAATACTAAAATTCAGCATTTATATAGACAGAGTCTATATTGCCGCATTTATGTCCAAACGGGTCAAACTAACCAAAATGGACTGCTTTGTCTAGATTGAGACCTGGACACCTTTTTCCTCTTTATTTTCATTTCATGGAGACCTGAACAGTAGACTTTGCAGTGCCAGTCGCTTTGTGCTTATTTTATCATTATATATGTTTGAACATTATTTTTAATTTGTTTGCTTTAAATAAATTTATAGATCACGAATTCGAGTCATGGAAGCAATTACTTGCATAGTTGCATTAGGGTATGCTCAGGGATGGATGTAGCGTAGCTCCGACGAGTTCAATTGAACCCATAACTTTTGACGCAGTACATAAATTTATGTGTAAAAATTTACTAAAATTACAACAATGAGTAGATATGAACCCATAACTTTAAAAATATAACGGGTTCAATATTAAGAATCTTAAAAACTGAACCCATAGAGTTTAAATCCTGAATCCAGCTCTGGGTATGCTGTCTATATTGCACCCGTGGAGGTATGACATTTCCCCGGATCTTGCATGAATGCAGAATGCTTTATGCATTTGGTTGTCATTTATTTATAAATAAGTTTATATAAATTTACTCAGGTCACTCAAAAAAATATAAAAACAATCCAAAATTATATTCATGTCCAAACACAACTCTAATTTTAAATACCATTTTCAATTGAATTTTATTTTCAATTTTTTTTTTTTTTTTGAAGTTTTACAATTCTTATGTCCAAACGCCCACTTAATTTCAGATAGTTAATTAACCATTAATAAACTCTTAGGAGTATTTAATATACTATACCATTTTCTCCTTCTCTGTTTTTCCTTGTGCTCTGCTCCCTGCTTTGACTCTTATGTTCTCAAAATTGCTGGTAAATTCCTCTATCTTCGTCAATTTTTCACACCAACAGTTACTCTTTGGTACATAAAATAGATTGCACTTTGCTCTGCTTTTTCTTGAGAAATTCATTTTCAGCTTTCTGCTTCTGTTCTATTCCTTTACACTATTCAAGTACAAAAACAAGTATTCGTTATTACTAGGTATTTTACTATTTATTGGTTATATTTTTCATTTGGAAGATAACGTTGTCTTTTGCTGTATTGCTTTTCAGCTCAATTCTGGTGATCTAGCTAAAATTTCACTTTATCTGTCCCAATTTATGTGATGTATTTTGTTAACTTTCTATATTTAGAAAATAATTTACCTTTAAACTTCTCATTTTAGCCTTAATGAAACGATTCATAACCATACAAATATCTACTTTTTTTAGATAACATGTTTCAAAAGTCGGTCTTTCTTTCTTAAACACCGTGTCTAAGTCAGTGCTTGATTTTCATTTCTTTCGGGGTTTAATTTCTGAGTATTGTATTTTGAAGATGTAGTTGATTGTAATTTCTGAGTATTGTATTATTAGCATGCTGTTGTAGAAAGGAAGTATTGGCGTAACTGGTAAAGTTGCTGCCATATGACCAGGAGGTCATGGGTTCGAGCCGTGGAAAGTGGAAACAGTCTCTTGCAGAAATGCAGGGTAAAAGGCTGCGTACAATAGACCCTTGTGGTCCGGCCCTTCTCCGGACCCCGCGCATAGCGGGAGCTTAGTGCACCGAACTGCCTTTTTTTTTCCTTTTCTTATTAGCATGCTGTTGTGATTCTTTTAAGGCTACCGTTTATCCATTGAAAAGGATTTTATTTGGAGTTGACTTTTTTGGGTTTTCAATTCTTGCTTATTGCAGAGTAGATGAAATTTGATAGAGGTTTCATGGGGTTATATGAGGCAGGATCTGCAATTAAAATAGAGGATGAAGCTCATTCATTTTTACCTGATCCAAATCTGATCAATAATCTCAGAGTTAGTGATAATTTAGTCAACAATAATCATGTTGATATTAGTCCATTTCAATCAAATACTTTAGTCCCATCAACTGCAGATGAAGATTATGATTTTAGTGATGTGGTGCTTAAGTATATAAATCAGATGCTAATGGAAGAGGATATTGAAGAAATGTCTTCTATGTTTCAAGAATCTGCAGCTCTTCGAGCTGCAGAAAGATCGTATTATGAAGTTATCGGAGAGGAGTACCCTCCTCCCCCGAATCTGGATAAACCGTCCAATTTAGGTCAGAATGGATATAATAGTATGGACCGTAGTGGTTTTCACAATAGTGGAAACGATGGTCGTGATGGCGTACTATGCCCGAATTGGAATCTTGATCTCAGTGGGGATGACGTGTCAAACGTGTCACGTTTTCTTTCGCCCCACAGTTCGTCAAGCACTGTCACGGATGTGCGTGTGGATTCTCCTCTGAGCACACTTAGGATTCCCGATATATTTAGTGACAGCGAGTCTATTATGCAGTTTAAGAAAGGGGTGGAGGAGGCAAGTAAGTTCATTCCTCGGGGTAATAGTTTGTTTGCTGATGTGAGGTATAATTTCGTGGGAGGCGAGCAAAATGAAGAGAGAATTGATGCATTAGTAAAGGTTGAGAAATATGGAGAAAAGCAATCTCCTGAAAGGTCAAGAGGGAAGAAAAACACTCTTCAAGAAGATGTAGTAGATTCAATGGAAGAAAGAAATAACAAGCAGTATGCAGTGTTTTCTGAATCAACTGTTCGATCAGAAATGTTCGATAGGGTGCTGCTATGCAATGCAGGAAAAAATGAATCTGCTCTTCGCGAGTCCTGGCAGACTATATCAAGGCGAAATGTGTTACAGAATGGCGTTTCAAAGGGATCTAATGGTAAGAAGTCGCAAGGAAAGAAACAAGGGAGTAAACGAGATGTAGTGGAATTGAGTAAGAATTCACAAGCAAAGAAACAAGGGGGTAAAAGACATGTAGTAGACTTGAGAACGCTCTTGACACTTTGTGCACAAGCTGTTGCTGCGGAAAATCGAAGGACAGCAAATGAGCTTCTGAAGCAGATCAGGCAAAGTTGTTCTCCGATGGGGGACGGGATGCAGAGGTTAGCCTATTATTTTGCTGATGGTCTTGAGGCACGGATGGCGGGTTCTGGTACTCATATCTATAGAGCCCTTATTACACTGCCTGTATCAGCGGCTGATGTCTTGAAAGGTTACCAGCTACTGCTTGCTGCCTGCCCGTTCAGGAAGATCTCTATCTTTTTCTCAAATAAGTCAATTATGAATCTAGCTGAAAATGCTTCAACAGTACATATTATAGATATTGGTATTATGTGGGGTTTCCAATGGCCTGCCCTCATACAACGTCTCTCTTCTAGACCGGGTGGACCTCCCAAGCTTCGTATAACTGGGATTGATTTTCCACATCCCGGTTTTCGACCAGCAGTGAGGGTTGAGGAAACAGGGAGACGGTTAGCTAATTATGCTGAGAGTTTCAATGTTCCTTTTGAGTTCAATGCTATAGCGCAGAAGTGGGAAACGATTAAAGTCAAGGATCTTAAGATAAATAAGGGCGAGGTTCTTGTGGTGAACTGTCTGTACCGTTTTAGGAATCTACTTGATGAGACTGTGGATGCAAACAGTCCAAGAGATGTTGTTCTGAATCTTATCAGAAAGTTGAATCCAGATGTTTTCATACTGGGAATTGTAAATGGTGCTTATAATGCCCCATTCTTTATCACACGATTCCGCGAGGCTCTTTTCCATTACTCATCCTTGTTTGATATGCTTGAAGCTAATATTCCCCGGGAAGTGCACGAGAGAATGCTGATTGAAAAGAATATACTTGGTCGGGAGGCAATGAATGTCATCGCATGTGAAGCAGCTGAGAGAATTGAACGGCCAGAAACATACAAGCAGTGGCAAGTCCGAATTATGAAAGCTGGTTTTCAACAGCTACCTTTGGATGAGGAGATCATGAGAATGGCAACGGAACGATTCAAGGAATATGACAATAATTTCGTGATCGATGTAGATAGTGAATGGCTACTGCAGGGATGGAAGGGTCGTATCGGATATGCACTTTCAACATGGAAAGCAACTTGTTAAATGAGCTGATGAATGGTATTCACTTTTCCAAGTGCTAGTTTTATCACCTTTCTAGTGTTAATTTAACAAGTACAACTGTGAAGGCTATGTTCATAACACTGCTTTGCTTATGGGGGCGCGGAAGCAGACGTTTATTGCTGCCTTCCTTCCTTAATGTGTCTCTACTCTCTAGCCGAGGGTCTATCAGAAACAGCCTCTCTGCCCTCCCAGGATAGGGGTAAGGTCTGCGTACGTACTTACCCTCCCTAGACCCCACTGCTGTACTTACCCTCCCCAGACCCCACTGCTGGGAACTCACTGCTTTTTTTGTTGTTGTTGTTGTTCCTTCCCTAATGCAAAGAGCTGTGGTAATCGCAACAGGAGAGAGATATGACAACAATTTGGGAGCAGCATCTGTGTCTGGTACTACTCATTTTGCCAGGACATAATATTAACAGTATTGAGCAAATAGGCAATAATAGTAGGTAGCAGTGTATTGGCTTCTTTTCATTTGTATTTTACATCAATCATGTTAGTTATATGTAGCATATACAATGATTTGTGAGGGTGTTATAGGTATCTTCTCTACTAATAAAGCCCAGTTCCAACATGATCTTTGTCCATTTGGGTTCATCTTCTTACCAGTTCAATTTTCTCCCTAGCCTTTCTTCTAAAAGATGGCGCAACCTATATAAAAGAATTCTTGATTAATATGCTTCTATAACTTAAACACTAAGATGGATAAGCAACAATAAACTTGGGATAAAAATTTAGTACTGCCTTATCCCTTACTATGTTACTAATTATGGGATAAACTATCCCAAGATTAAAAATAGTACCGGGATAATTTATACCTGCCAGAGGGTGGAATACAATCCCAGGATAAGTTATCCCAGAATAAAGCAGTAAAATTCACAATCCCAGGATTAATACAATATACCAAACAATCAATAAAAAATAATATCAGGATAACTAAACTATTCACAATATAATTAATCCCAACGTATCTCAATATAATTAATCCAACGTAACTTGTCTTCAAACCAATCTGCCCCTAAAAGTCATCTTTGACCAATATTAACATTGTTCTTTATCTATCTTTAGTGTTTTGCTCAGTAACTCAGTTGGCCAATATTGACATTATGCTCAAAGTTTTCTTCTTTTCACATTGGAGACAATAAAGTTAACATATTTGTTATGAAGAAGAATCAAAAGATTATATTATTTCATGACATTGCAAAATCCCATATACAAAAGAACAAAGAATAATAAATACAATAATATTTCATCATCCAACCAATTTAAATAACATACGCCTCTCCCAATTTTAAAAAAGAGATTCCAAAGCCTCAAGCTTCTTAATGCCTTAATACAGCAAACAGGGACACGAACAAAGAAGTTCCAATCAAAGCACCAGAAACCGGCAAAGAGAAACCCGCTCCAGCATCAGGCGACGGAGCTGGTGCAAGACTAGGCTCCTGAGCCGAAACAGTAACAACAACGACAAAGACGAAAATCACGAACGCCTTGATGATGCTAACAGAAGCCATTTTTGATGGAAGAAATGAAGAGATTTTATTTATAGTGATTTTGAAAATTGAATGGAGAAAGAGAGATTTATTCACAAAATGAAGAGCGGAAAAGTGAGTATTTATAGTAGTAAAAGGCAACTAAATTGACAGCTAGTAAAGAGATGGATTTGTTGAAAAAACAGCTCAGATATTGGAGATGACAGGCTATTAGATTAGGGGATGAACTGGCCATGTTATTAGCCAGTAGAGAGACGTTGTGAAAGATTCCCACTCGTTGATTATATAATTAAGATTACTATTTGAAAAGGTAATATATCATCATAATTGCTAGCATTAATATAATTTTAAAATCCTTTATATTTTAGATTGAGTTCAAATGTTGCTTTAATATATTCTCTTTCATCATTACCTAATATGTTATGTGAACTAAATTAACGTCTCAAATTTCTAGTCGAGTCAAATAACGTTTGATAAAATTAATTAAGATAGTAAATGTGAAAAAGATAAAAAAGAAAGATGAACAAAAAGTCTCATTGGGCCTTTAAGCCACGAACTGCACGTGGATGGGTCTACATATAGACTTTAGAGACTGTACATCATTAGAATCCAAAAGCTATTACCGGCTAATTTTATAATTTGTTCATTTTTATGAAAAATATATATTTTTAGTTATTCTAAAAAAATAATAACCGGTAAAATATTATATATATTGTACTTCCAGCATAATATACTGGAGTTCCAGTATAATATACCGGTCCAGCATAATATGCTGAAAGTTCATACACAGGTCCTACAATCTCCAGTATATTATGCTGGAACATTTCGCGTGTTGGAGTTCCAGCATAATATGCTAGAAGTTCATACACAGGCGCACCGATCTCCAGTATATTATGCTGGAACCTTTCGTGTTGTAGCAAAATAGTGGCTATTTTTTAATTTGCAAACGCTGGCTATTTTTAAATGACCAGTCCGAAAACTGGCTAGCCCGTGCTATTTTTAGGGGGAAGTGCATAGTTAGCCAGTAATAAGATATGTATTTACTTTTAAGCCATTGTTTAAAATGTCTTTAGTCTTTAGCCACTACGTTAATAAACTTTTATCCGCCCGGACGAAAATACCCTTCTGCTCATAAAGTTCAGGACCAAGTGTCTTAACTTATGAGCTTGTTATTGTAAGTTAAGGACTAGCTGTCCTTAATTTATGAGCTTGTAAGTCTAAGTTTAGGACTACCTGTCCTTAACTTTTGAACTTGTAACTCTAAGTTTAGGACTACATGTCCTTAACTTTTGAACTTGGAACTCGAAGTTGAGGACTACTTGTCCTTAATTTTTGTGCTTGTAACTCTAAGTTAAGGATTACCTGTCCTTAATTTCTGTGCTTGTAACTCTAAGTTAAGGACCAAGTGTTCTTAATTTTTGAACTTCCAACTCTAAGTTCAGGACCAAGTGTCCTTAACTTATGAGCTTGTTACTGTAAGTTCGGGACTAGCTGTCCTTAATTTATGAGCTTGTAAGTCTAAGTTAAGGACTACCTGTCCTTAGTTTTTGAGCTTGTAACTCTAAGTTCAGTACTACTAGCCTGTTTGGCCAAGCTTCTTTTTGGCCAAAAGTGCTTTTTTTTGGCCAAAAGCACTTTTGACCAAACATTGAGGTGTTTGGCGTAACTTTTGGAAGGAAAAGAAGTGCTTTTGAGGAGAAGCAGAAGCAGAAAAAAGTAGCTTCTCTCCAAAAGCACTTTTTTGAGAAGCACTTTTGAGAAAAATACACTTAGAAGCAGTTTTTTAAAGCTTGACCAAACACTAATTGCTGCTCAGAAGTGCTTTTCAAACTAATTAGCCAAACACAAACTGCTTCTCACCAAAAGTACTTTTAAGAAAAGCACTTTTGAAAAAAAGCACTTCTCAAAATAGGCTGATTTTTACAGCTTGGCCAAACGGGCTAGTACATGTCCTTAACTTTTGAACTTGTAACTCTAAGTTAAGGACTACCTGTCCTTAATTTCTGTGCTTGTAACTCTAAGTTAAGGACCAAGTGTCCTTAATTTTTGAACTTCCAACTCTAATAAGTTCAGGACCAAGTGTCGTTAACCTATGAGCTTGTTACTGTAAGTTCAAGACTAGCTGTCCTTAATTTATGAGCTTGTAAGTCTAAGTTAAGGACTATCTGTCCTTAGTTTTTGAGCTTGCAACTCTAAGTTCAGTACTACATGTCCTTAACTTTTGAACTTGTAACTCTAAGTTAAGGACTACCTGTCGTTAATTTTTGTGCTTGTAACTCTAAGTTAAGGACCAAGTGTCCTTAATTTTTGAACTTCCAACTCTAAGTTCACGACCAAGTGTCCTTAACTTATGAACTTGTTACGTAAATTCAGGACTAGCTGTCCTTAATTTATGAGCTTGTAAGTCTAAGTTAAGAACTACTTGTCCTTAGTTTTTGAGCTTGTAACTCTAAGTTCAGTACTACATGTCCTTAACTTTTGAACTTGTAACTCTAAATTCAGGACTACATGTTCTTATTTTTTGAACTTGGACCTCTAAGGTCAGGACTACCCGTGAATTCAGTATAAGTTCTACTGCCTAATATTTCTATAGAGCTATTTTCATTATTAGTTCTACTGCCTGATATTTCTTGCTCTGGTTCAAAGGACAATATTGTTTCCAAGTGAGTGACCTGTGCTTTAACTTGAATGGAGGGCAAAATTCCAAGTGTGTATTTTGTTGGTGCAGAAAGGAGAGAATGAAAAAAAGAGTGAAACTTTAAAGAATGCTTACTGCAGTGAGTGAAGTAATAGAGTTTGAGTTGAGTTTGTTGAAGGGATTTGAACATGATGTAGGAGGTGGAGGCCATGTGTGGCCGTTACTGAATTCAGGAGAAAAGGGAGACGGAGAGACCGGCAAGGAAGAGAACATGGACACAAAAGAGATAGAAGAAAGGGTAACACCGTCTTTTCATATTAATTTTAATAGACTAGTGGCTATTTTTGCCCAGCATAAAATGCTGGATAAAAAGTAAACACCACTTTAAAAAGTGGCTACCCCACACAATTTTTACCTATTTTTACACATCTTTCTCGTCGGGCCCATAGCCCATTACTTATTTGGCCCACAGAAGGAATAAGCATCGAATAAAGCCCATTATTATCATCAAGTATATTATGTTCATATTTCTCTAGGAGAGAAAAATACAACGTGAATAAAAATTAAAATTCGAGTGGTCCAGATTCAAACTCACAATTTCTCAGCATTTTCGCGGGAATCTTACCTTTCAGCCAACGAATCAAAACCAGCCACGTGTCCTAAGTTGCTACACTTTATGCCACGTAGGATAATCATAATAAAGCTTCCATCACACGATTGGATATAAGTCAGAAAAGCAGCTTCCGGAACAAGCCTTTTCCCTTTGACAGCCCACACAAACGCTCCCCTTTTCCCTCCAATATAAAGTAGTCCAACCATACTACTACTATAAACACACAGACACACACTGCTACATAAAACATTTTATTCCTACAATCTATTCGCCTATAGAAACTTTTCTACTACTATCTCATAGCTTTAGAGGAAAAGAATTTTCTTGTAATCTCTAGGTTTGTAGCACGTACATTTAACTTTTTGCTTTCACTGTCACAAGTCTGTTTATAGTCGCAACTGTCGTTATAGTCAACAGGGTTGAAAAATTCAAGAAAAACTTCGACCGACACCTATATTTACGTCATTGTTGAAATGAAGGAGAGAATGAAGAGTGATTATGAGGTGGTGGAAGAAGGATGCAAGACTCCGAGGCGTGACACGTGTAGGATAATGGTGAATTCTTTGTGTCCGCCGCCGCCGCCGAAAAAGAAGCGAGTTTACGTCAAACAACAGAGTCCTCCGCCTAAGGAAGGTTATTTTCAGCCACCTGATCTTGAGCTTTTCTTTGCCATTGTACAAAGGAGAGAGACTTGTATTTGAATATTGGTTCTTAATTAAAAAGAAGAAAAAAAAAAAAAAGGTAAACGGCTCGTTTTTGTACTCTTTTTGTAATATATATTGCAGCAATGTGAAGCCTGAAGGTATATAGAATAGTACGTTTGCTCTGTTTTTCAATGTGTCC